AACTACAACCGGGCCCTCCATTTAGCCATAGGACTACCGGTGCGTTCTCGGGATCCTTTTGACTCTCAACGAACCAATAGAAGTAATGTTTGCCTTCAGTTATATCCAAATAACCGGAATATTGCTTGAAATTAATAGCTTGTGGGAGTCCGGGTAAATCTTTGATTTCATCATCATTTGCTGCAAATACTAAACATAAGTTTAGTAGAAATACAATTGAAACAAAAAAATTCTTTATTGAAACCATTTTTTAATTTTTATTAATGAGTTATGATTTGATTTTAAATATATATATGCCAATTCAATGCCAATTGTCATAAATCAGTATTATATTACCACTTAAATCCAATTATTTGATAACAGTCTAAATGAATGTTTCAAAATTACATCGAAATCCACTTAAAATGGATTAATAATCATTTTAAACGTATGGGAAAATATGAATACAATATTTTCTCAGGAATTTTTATGTTTTTAATCTAAATTATTGCTTATACTGTATGGTAATTAAATGTAATACAAAAAGTATAAAAGAACATATCCATTTTATTTTCATCAACATACTTCAACTAATCACAAGTTCTCTTTGGATATACAATATATTTAATTATAAAATATTTCTAAAATCTACTAAATCTTTATATTATTTTATTAATATATAATTGTCAGGCTCAAATATATTCCCCTAACACTTAAAACTGTGTGATTCCGATTACATTCTTGAGTAACTGTAGGGCAGCCTCTGGTTTGTCGTGAGGGACCATATGTCCGGCCCCGCGGACTAACACGAAACTCAGGTTTTTCTCGTAGTGCTGCACAAACCCACCAATAAACCCATCAGGGGTTTTCCATTCACTACAATTATTTATAATTTAGGTTTTTATTTTTTAAATAAGAAACTTATTACAGTTATCATACCTATAGTGTCCATCTTTTTTAAATGCGAGACTATCAACAAATCTATTATTATCGATGTGATCGCACATAGTGTCGAAGTTTCCATTAAATATAACAAGTTTTCCGATATTATACTTATTAATCAAATCCATAATAATAGGTCTTTGGTCTGTAGACACCCCCTCATAGGATCCGCCGCAATCAGACCAGTGGTGGGTGTCATCAGGACGTACGTGCAGTGCTTTACGTACTTCCGGCAGATTTAAGTAATCTGCATAACCCTCGTGCGGACAATTGATATTTGGCCTTTCATTGACTGGTAATTTGTTGAAAGCCTTTGCGTAATATTTGTTGAAAAGTCGCAAATAAGCGGAATTAGCGCCACAATCATCGTAAACATTGTATGGATTGGGTGATCCTGACATTTCCACTTCTGTTGCTTGACATTTACTATTAAAATATCATTGAATCAAAAATTTAAAGTTAAGTAAGTTCTGTGAAAATATTTAAGAACCTAAAAGTCCTATCTAAATAAGGAGTATGGCAACTCCTGTTTTATGTTACGGTAATATAGAATTAATTGACAACAGATTCTCGTTAGTTTTACTAACATAGAGAATTCCAAAGGGCAACAGAATACTAAAATTATTTATATACAGTCTCATTAAAATTAAGTTTGAATTAGCTGGTTAATCTAATAATATTAATAATAGTCACTTACGTCCTATTCGCTGGTTTACTGAAATCGCATTCATGTAAAACTTCGCCTGATTTACATTCACAGCAATTCTCAATGAGTTGCTCATAGGATCCAGTTGTAATGAATCCATGGCCTAAACTAAAGTCATAGTAAGACATACCAATTAATGGGGCATTTCCTAGAACTCCATTACCAATTGCAACACCTATTTATATAATTTAATATTATATTAAAATAAACATCAAATAACTTCTTTAAATAATACCTTTTAAATTAATTGTAGATTTAGTGCTGAATATTTCATGGGCTAACATTGGGATATAAATTCCGGCATAACTTTCACCCGTTATATAAAATGGGTTTTTCTTCAGATTTGGAAACTTTTCGAAAAACGCTTCGAGAG